GCCACTCTCAATAAAGGCCACGCTAGTCTTCCTATGGAGTCGATTTCATGGACTGGCTTATCAAGTGGGATTGACAGTCTCTGTGACACCAGCAATGCGAGAGAGGCTTGACCAGGGCCCACATTTTGGCATCAGGTGAAGACTGTTTTATTTTCACAGGCTTTTTAATCATTTTCTAATTGTATTTTAATTCATATTGTTTTAGAATTTGATGACTGCCTGCTTTGTATGGTATCTTTATATTTTATTACGTTTTAACTCAAATTGTATTATTTATTTTTTCCTTTTTTGGTGTGTATTTATTGTAAACCATCCCAAAAGCTTTGGCTATTGGAGCTTCATAATAAATTGCATAGCCTTGATCTTATCTCAAGACACTCCCATCTCAAAGGAAGTACAGGTAGTCCTTGTTTAGCGACTGTTCAGTTACAATAGTGATGAAAAAGTAATTTTGCAGCCAGTCCTCACATTCACGACCTTCACAGGTCTGTAAAGCAAAGGAAAGCTGAAGTTAGATCATCAGCATAGTTGCAACCGCTTCACTTAACAACCAAGTTGTCAGTCCTCCTTGTGGCTGCTAAATGAGGACTACCTATATTTTTCAGGACCAGGCTGAGGCCGGAGCAGCTAATGGTTGCAATGCCAAAAAGCTCCCTTCTCTATGGCCTGAAATGGTCAGCCTGAGTGATGCTGCTTCATGGCTGGTGATCCATCACTATCGCTTACATGGCACAGGGAACTAGTCTGTTGCCAACCATGTTTACCTTACCATGTTGTGGGAATCAAAGCCATGGGTTACTTTATGGTTCAGTGTAACAAGCCAGCCCAAAAGTTGTTTAATTGAGAAAATGTGGGTTCAGCTCACTATTGTGTGTCACATGAAGCTTGACAGCCTGAATCATATCTGATACCCCAGATTTTCCTTCGCAGCAGATTGGGGAGTGTCAAATAATAGACTATGTTCACACAACACACTGAATCCTAAAGCCACCCAAGGGACAATACACTGTGAGCTGATCACATTTTGGCCTTTTTTGTGTGTGTGGGGGAGGTTAACCCAAAGCTGATCTGGGTTTTCTAAAGTATCTGGTCCAATTCCTTTGCATCTAGTTGGAGGAGAATCTGAGTTGGCAGGGGCAAAGCCATGTAGCCACCCTCTTTGGAAGGCATCTAGGGAGACACCACAACCTGCGGTGGTCGGTTCCATCAGGAAGTTTCTCCTCAAAACCCTTCTGGGCGACACCCTCCTCTTCCATGGGAGAGCTCTTTTCTGGGCAAAATACTTGGTTTCCTCCATGACTTCCCACTGGATTTGACCGTCCAACAGCTGGCTGTCTTCACTCCCCTTTCCTGACCTGCCCGTTCTTCCACACCTCTCAAGCATGGTGCCCACCAGAAGGCTGAGCTTGCAGCTGGAGCCCAGGAAGCTTGTGCCAGGGGAGGACGAGCCATGCGTGGTTGGAGGTTTAGTGGCAGTGCTGCAATTTGGCCAGAAGAATAGAAGAAAACAATTCTCTCTGTTGCAGCTCTGTACCACTAATCCTTTTGCAAAGCTGCATCTCTCACACTGTTGGGATCTTTGGCTGTCCACAATGCAGAATGGCATGGCTCGTTCTCTCCTAAAAAGCAGTGTCAGAGCTCTTCTGCCTAAAGCAAGCTGAAGATACTTGCCATGAGATGATGATGATGATGGAAACAGACATATTTGCCCCACAATGCCTCATCAGGGATGCTCCAGAACAGCTCAGGAGGGAGCACTGTGTTTACTCTGTCCACTGAAGAAATGACATGCCGCAAAAAAAAATCTCCAGCCAAAGCAGATTTCCGGTGGGAAGAAATGGCACTCGTGCTCATGAGGAGACTGTGCGCTCTGCCCCCGGCCCCACCCCACGGGTTGGCTTCTCCTTCCAAAAGAATCTGTCACTGGACTGGGCCATCAAGAGCTGGCCAAGGGTGGCCGTCATTCAGCGCAGAGACCAGGGCTGCTGCTAGCCAGAGCTTCCACAGCGCCTGGCTGGACCTCCAGAAGGAAGGCCAGGTTGGTTGGCCTCCGGGGTGCATTTTCAGCTGGGGGCAGAGCGGGAGTCTTGCCGGTCAGAGGGATTTCTTTACTAGTTTAGAATGGCCAAAACATAAAAATTCTTTGGGCTCTTGACATTTAATTTATGGAATCCAGTGGCGGCACCATGTCAGTCTGTTGCTTGTGTAAATTTAAAAAGGTTAAGAAATGATGTGGTTTCACTGTTTACTTCTCCTTAAACATAATCAGTACTACTAAGAGCTAATGTATTGTAAAACAAATACAATATATATATATGAAAGTCTTTGCAAGCAAAGCCACTTACCATTATGCACGATTTGGCAGCAGGAAATGTACATTTGTCTGGAATGGACAAATTTTCTCTTCAGCCAAGGAGGGACTTAACCATGACTGGCGCAAGCGTGCACCAAGGTTGTTTTGTTTGCTCCCTTCAGAATGCCAGTGTGCTGCAGATAACATACACTGGCGAGGGGGCTGGGAACGTCTGTGCTCTCCCTGCACAAGCTGTTGTAAAGACGTTTCTTTCTTTCTCCTTCAGAGTTCAGCCGCAACACCAGGCGTGAGTCTCCACCACTAGCAGAGACGTCTCCCTGGAGCGAAACTGTGAGAACCTCTTGAACCAAGCCCTCTGGTTCCCACCCACTGGCGGGTTCACTGATCACTGCTAAGCCAAGGTTTTGCTGAACTATGGGGGAGATACTATAGCACAGAACTCTGGGTCCTAAAGCACAGTCTTTAATTCTACAATAGACGTGAAAACATAGATCTGTTTTTACAAGAGGGAGCTCTGGCAGTAATTCCAAGCAAAGCTAACACGTAATTCAAACAAATAATTCAGGGCAAGACACTCTGGTGCCCTGAGTCCACATGAAAAGCCCTAAATCAGAGATGGCCAGGGATTATAGGCTCTTCTCCCTCCACATATCCCCCTCTTAAGTACAAATTCCTCCTGCTGGTTTTAACAGCTATTAGTCATGGTTAACATTTAACTAAAAGTCCAGCTTAAGTAGAATTTGCAGCTGCCAGGAAAGATCACCTGGTTTTGATTTGTTCATCTGAATTAGTCCATTCAACCCATGTGGTCTCTTTCTATCATCTCTAAGTAACCAGGAGATGAGCTCTGTGCGTTTGGAATGTGAAGAGTTTCCAGGGAGAGGGAACCAGGCTGGGCTGGGAATATACCTTTCTAGAAAAAGGCAGATCTTTTCTTCTACGTGAACCTCCCAAGCTTGGAAGGGCTTCAGGAGCAGCTGGGGTGGCTCTGCGTCACTCCTTGTGGTCCTCTGAAATTCAGTTATGTCTTGCTTTTCAAAGAGTGATGGGTGCAACCTGCAGCGCGTCCACAGTCAGCCATTAGCAGCAGCTCAGGTTGGATGGACGGGGACCTTGTGAGGACGCCACATTTTCTTCTATACCTGCGAGGAGGACGCCAAGGGAGGAGAGGGCTGAAGTTCCTTCCCATGACCTGGGGGAGGGAAAGGGCCTCAACTGCTGTTCTGGCTGACTGCTCTCTTCCCACCCCCAAATACTGGTTGTTGTAGGTTTGCTCTGCGTCCTTCAGAATGTGCTTGGATGTCCCCTCAGCCACCCTGGAAGGCTCTGCTCCTTGAAGAGTAGAGTCAAGGGCGCTGCAAATGCTGCCTTGCTCATGGGCTCCACTGAATTCCACAGGATCTGCTTCTGGACAGCCACAGATATGAGCACTAGCAGTCTAGACCCCTCCTAGCTGCCTCCCTGAAAATGAGGTGGGGGGAGATAATTAGGTCAACATACTGATGAAGTTTCCTGTGCCAATTGGAACCACCCGGCTGCAGCTTTTCTCCAGCTCCATCAGCACAGACTTCTCAAAGGCCAAGACAGCAACCCGGGAAAAAAAGTCCTTGATGTTTTCCCCTGAAGAAAGAGAGAGAAAAATGGGGGTGGGGGACCCCGAATCCCTAAAGCGGGCAAGTGGACATATTTGGTACGTGTTCTTGCTGTACCCAGAGAACACACAAAGCATGGCCTCTCGCTGGGAGAACCAACCACAGGAAGCCGCCTTACAGCACCACAGCGGGATGCGCAGCACATGCGGCCCAACTGCTCCATCCAGAAAGCAGGGGTGGGGGTGGGGGGGTGCAGTTCCCTCCTGGATCTGCGGTGCTGCTTCCCTTCGGCTCAACTGACCTGTTTTGGCCGAGACAGACCAATACTCTGCCTGCATTTCGTTGGCCAGACGGACTGCATCCCGCTCGGTCCGCTCACTCTCAGCCTCGGACTGGAACAGAAAGAGCCACAGACAGGGAACTGCAGTGCTGCCCTTTAAACACAGGCGCACGCTTTTCCACCGTCCTCCTCCCACGCCACAAGGTGGCTTCGTGGACATGTTTCCAATAAAGAAATTGGGGAGGATGCAGCTGTAAGAGGAGGGGGCTGACCGTAAGCTTGGAAGGCATCTAAAGAAGACGAGGGGGCAAATGGAAGCCATATTGACAAGGACACTGCAGCCAAGCCACCTCCCCTCCCTGCCTCCCCCCGCCCCATTTTGTGGCTGAGCGGTTGTGCAACGGACTCTCGCGCTTGGCCGGAGGCAGCTGATCAAGGTCACGGAAGATGGCCTTGAATGCTGCAAGCGGGTTGGTCCCCAAAGCTCGGCCTGCAGGGATGTGGCATCGGGGGCCACACAGCCAGCCCAGCGATCCCTGCAAGCTGTTGGTCCTTCAGCTCTTTGTATAGAGCACCAAGATAAGGGAGGGGCCATCAACCCTTAGATAAGAGCACCAAGATAAGGGAGGGGCCATCAACGCAAAGGAGGGGTGGCGGGGAACAGAGAGTCGGGTCCTCAGCACGCTCCCTGCCCTTCTGGCCTTGTCTATTTCGAAAAGGGACTGAGGTTAAACGTGGGAAGCAGGTGAGGCACAAAGCATCACCTCCAGCACCTTCCCCATTTCCAAGAGCCTAAAGGAGCCCTGTTAGCTTTCTCAGAAAATAAAGAGAATGGGGAGGTGCCCCCTTCTACCTAGGGAAAGGAAAAAGGTAAGCCCAGGTTGTAGGGAGGGGACATTTTGGGGCAGGGGCAGGCGGCATTCTGGCAAAGGAGTCACTTGACAAACAACAGCCCTCCTGTCAGCTGCTCCTCAAGAGCATCCAGAGCATGTTCTTGCTCTTTCAAATACACTGGCCACCCAAAAAAAATTTGGAAGGGTCTTGGAAAAAGCCCCATCAGGATCTCTTAACAGGGGTGTCTACAGGTTATGGTCAAAAATATCAAGTGGGAGCCACAACAGTGTAATCGAAGTTCCGCCTGTTTTTTATGTGTGTTGTGGCTGCTATCTTGACACCCTTGGTTTGTCATGATGGAGGAGCAGGGCCTGGGGGTGTCCCCAGTTCTTCCCTGAGGCAGCATCAGCCCCCCCGGCCATCGGGGGATCTCGTGCAGATGGGCACGCTCCTTTTGCTGGGCTGCAGCTGGATTCCCTCCCAACCAACCAACTTGGTTCTTGAGACAGAGTTCCTCAGGCTCACCAGCAGATCTTTCTTGGTTCCCACCAGAAACACAAAGCTGGAACCAGGGTGATTCTCCCGCAGGGCATCCTCCAGCCACTGCCTGGAAAGTGAGAAGAGGAAAGGTTGTGCGTGTGAGAGAAGACAAACCTTTATCAGTCCTGGCTTGGCCCAGAAAGTCACCGGTGGAGGCGTCCTTCTGCCAGGCCCAGCCCCAAAAATGCCTCCTGCCCCGCTGCAATGGAGACGCTCCACCTGGCTATTTGGTCTGGAAGGGAGGTGAGCAAGGTGCATCTCCACAAGAGGGACTGGGATCTCAGCATCTGGCAAACAAGCAACAGACTGGCCCGGTGTCTCTTTTTCTCTCTGCAAACTTAATCAGATGGCCTCCAGCCATCTGCCCGTGTTTGTCACCATTGCTCCTTTTTAAAACGAGTCCCTGAACTGGGGGCTGATCTTGTGATACACCAAGTGATAACGCAGGGGAAAGAGATAAGGAGACAGTATCAGATTCACGTTCTACGAACGAGAGGAAGAGACAGAGAGCAGAGGAAATGAAAGCCTTGAGGAGAGCAAGAAGAAAGGAAGGCGCACCATATGTTCTCCCTGCTCAGCAAACAACACTGTCCCCGTGCCAGTCCCTTGGATACGTGCCTCCTGCCCACCCAGGCTAGTTAATGAGTCAACCGATCCTCTCACTTCAGGCAGGAAACCTCAGAAAGAGCTGGGGTAAAACAGGAAGAGCCAGAGAAGACACAAGACCCAGCAGAAGGCATACCAAGTGCTGGAGGGAAGCAGCCCAGAAAGAAGAATCGCTCTGCCTGTCATCTCACACACAGCCTGGCAGAGGAGGTTCTGGGCTGACTGGAGTAAATGACAGCTTGCGCACACCATGTCCAGTCCCTCGGCCTCCTCCTCCCAGGCCCTTTAGGAAGACCTGCCCAGATTCCACATGGTAGCGTTCCCTCATTGGCAGGGTGTGTGGAGCCATCTTGCTTCAGATGGTTAATGCATGGTGCCTCTCCTCCGCATGCACACAAATATTTAACTTGTATGTGGCTTTTTCTAAGGCTAAGCGTGTCACCTAAACTTGGAATGGCCATGATTTCAAATTCCCATTGGTGATGACCACTCTGAGCTTGACACTTTGCTACAGAAAAGCCACAGGCCAGCTTAAAAGGCCTTTCTATGTGGGGTGGAGAAGTCGCAGGGGGTGTGCAGGAGCAGATCCCCTTAACCAGCCTGGATGGCTTAACGCTTCATGACAAGACACTAATAGGCCATTTCCCCACCACCGACTTCATAGGATCACCTGCCATCGCTGAAGTCTCTCACCGCTGGTATTATTTCGGCCACAACAGTGGTTGGATAAATCTTGTAAATGGTAGAAGTTGTTATTGCAGAAATGGTCTGAGTTGTAATGGGGTTTGCTTGACTTAGGCTTTGTGTATACGCAGCCAGATCTTCTTTAGCCAATCAACATGGTTAAATCATCCATGGCTCAGTGGGATATGTGAAATCAGTCAGAAGATAAAACTGTGATGACTTACTTGGTGTGATCCAAAGTCTGGATGTCAGCCAAATCGAAAACAGTTATAATTACTGCCAAGAAAGTAAGACCAGATTATAAAAGGTTTGAGCAGCCCTTGAATAGTCTGTCAGCCACGCCAAAGAGGAAGGGAGGGCAAGTGAGGACAGGGGTCTCGGCCCTCAACTTACCTTCTGCTCCTCTGTAGTAAGCAGATGCAATGCACTTGAACTTCTCCTGGCCAGCTGTGTCCCATCTGGACAAGAGGGGAAGAAGGAAAGTCAGTCTGGTGCTCTGAGATGACCTGAATTCTCTCACTGATGGAGCTAACGTGTGATTTGGGGGAAAGCCCCTAGACAAAACTTCCTCTCTCATTCTTCAAAAGTAATATTATTATTTTTTTTAAAAATCATTCTGGCTGTTATTCATCACCATTTGCGTATCCCCCTCTTGAATATTCCTTTCAGCCCAAATGCTGAATAACTTGCTGCCTTAGAAGACGGAGACTTTTGTATTTGAGAAAGAAAGACCAAGTTAAGCAAACGACCCCTTCGCTGAGTTCATGTATTGGGTTTATTGAATAGCCACATTTGGGGGAGTCATTCAGGGACATTTTCTTTTTAGATCAAGAGTAAGCAACATTTTTGGAACAAGTAAATCTGGAATATTGGAGCATATTGTAAAAGCTTTCACAAAGTGGCAGCCCTGATGGCCTGGGATGGCAAAGAAATGCCCGTTTTCCACAAGGCAGAAAGGGATATTGCTGTGGCCCACCTGGATAACCAAACATGGGTTACAGCATCCACCGGGGTTATTTCCTGGGATTCCTCTGGGGCCACTGGTGCTCTTGGCAATGAGAGAAGATGCTGAGGCTGGTGCTTTTCCTGCACCAAGCAGGCTTCCTCTTATTTTTAAGTACAAGGAACTTTAAAAAGAAACAAAGATCAGGTGCAGCAGGTGGCCTGGGGAATGCCAAAGGACGGGTATGTGGATACGCTGGTTCCTGGGGGTGGTACATCCCCTACAGCCTGCACT